AATTTTGAGTACAGATTACATCCCAGTCAGTGAGCCACACTGACCTGTTTTAGCACAGAGGAGCTGGTCTCCCCATCAGTACATTTTCAGAGGATGCTATAGCCCTCCCAGATCTAGCTTGATAGTCTTCAGAGTATATTGCTGTAAATTCTTTGTTGAGGACCTCAGATCCTGTACAAAGATACAGGTCTACAGGAACTACCTTAACAGTACTAAGTGCCACTGCCCCTTTAGTAAAAGCTTTCTGTGGTAGTGTGGAGCCAGCCTGTCCCTGTACTTTGGAAGTATTTTCAGGTTGTAAGATGTGAAGTATAGATAAGTTTTATTTCTTTTATCCATTCAATGTCAGAGAGAGCCCTTTGTGTCACATAGAGTCAATGGAACCAAAAAATTTCCCAAGTCAGGATATTGAGCTCTCAGTTCTACAACCTCTCCATGTTAAACATGCTGTTTTTTATCAGTACCACAAAGTTCCTTAATCTGACCACGGCTCTAACATGCAATCACCAAACAACACATTTCTCAGAAAGTATCCTCATCTTTAAGTGATACATGACTGTGTTTTTTAAATTGACATTTATTTTTGATACCCTTAAGAAATTAATAGAAAATAACACTAAACTAAAAAAAATTAAAAACTTCCACTTCATAGAGATGCAGACACTAACAGTTCTTGTTCTTAATTTACCATTATAAATCTAAGTAATGTGGTTATGCCCATTCTTGAATTAATAAATTTACATGTATATTGACTCTTATCTGAAGGATGAAGAATATAGTGCAGTTATACTATTTTACCTCTTTTTCCTTCCTCATTGCCGTGTTTACATTATTTTATATACTTAAATTTTTCTACTTATTGACTTTAAACACTATACATAAAACCTGTTTTTAAAATGTTAGTTATTAACATTTGAGATACTAGCTCTTTTCAGTTAAAGGAGAAAGAATTAGAATGCTCTTCCTTTCATCTCCACTCTCCCTTCAAAATGTCAATGTTATATATAATGTTTTTTACATTCTGTTTCACAACTAATTAAATTAAATGTTATATGTTTCACATCTGCATAGATTCTAAAATAAAAAATGAAACATAATTGCTAAATAACTAGGTAAACATTATACTTTGTAGAACCAAGTAGTGTGATTGTATGGATTCATAGAAAATACAACCCTTTGTTATTAAAGATTTTGCTACTTAAGAGAGAATTTTACATGTAATAAGGTTTAATGGTTCCTCTTTAAATTTCTTTCTGGATTCTTTGTCTTTTCCAAAGTCATATAGAGTTCTCACTGTTTCATTTTTTAAAACTCATGCCATCTTCTTTCTGATATTTCTTTTTGATTGGTACACCTCCTACCTAGTAATATATATTTTTTCATATATACCCTAAAGGATAGGGAAATATTTTTCCTTACCATTGAATTAATAATCTGAGTAGATATTCAATTCTACTTTTAAAATCTTTTTTCTTCTATTATAGAGTACAATATTCCATTGCCTTTTAGCATCCTATATCTTTAAGAAGTCTGATGTTATTTTGATTCTTATCCTTTCAGGTAATCTGTCCTTTTTCACTCTAGAAGCCTTTAAGGTTTTCTATTAATATAAGAGTTTGAAAATTAGCAAGTATGTCCAAGTATGGATTCTAGTCCCCACTCCTTAATAGACTTGCTTGGTATTTGTACAAATTTGAAGATTATATATATATTATTTTTCTTTTTTGCAACTTTTTTCTACTATTTCTTATCCTTCATTATCCCTAATCTCCCTTTCTGTCATTTTTGTTAAATGGATCTAGGGCCACCTGATCCATTCTCCATGCCATTTAATTTGTCTTTCATAGTTTTCATCTCTTATATTTTCTACCTAATTTCTGGGTATTTTCTTAACTTCAACTTTATTCTCTTCATCTTATTTTTTATCTGTTCCTATTTTTATTGCTCAGGTCATCCATTCACCTATTGATTTTTAAAAATTTTTAACAAAGGTAAGGTTAATTTATAGAAACTATTATTCCCTAGTTACTCCTTTTAAATATAGTAATTAGACAGATTTCCTTGTATTGTCTTTGAGAAAAAACTAGGCAGGTAGTGACAAACAGCCTGGCAGTTCCTCAAAAAGTTAAACATAGAGTTAACATTGACCTAGCAGTTACACTCCTAGGTATGTAGTGAAGAGAAATGAAAATATTATGTACACACAAAATCTCGTATGTGAATGTTCATAGCAGCATTAGTCACAATAGCCATAGGATGAAAGCAACCCAAGTGTTCATCAGTGGATGAATAGATAAAGAAAAGTGGTATATCCATATAGTAGAGTCAGCCAGAAAAAGGAATAAAGTACTGTTATATGCTACAGCACATACAGACCTTGATAACATTATTCTAAGTGAAAGAATCCAGTTAAAAAAACCGTACACATATATGATTTCATTTATTTGAGATGTTCCGCATAAGCAAAATTACAGAGATAGGAAGTAGATTAATGGTTGCTTAGGGTTGGGGAGAATGACAGTGAGAATTGGTTTTGATAGCAGAAAGGGCCGGGGGTTTCTTTTGAGTTAACAAAAATATTCTAAAATTGATTGTGGTGATGGTTGCACAACTATGAATATATTTTAAATGATTGAATTGTAGACTTTAAATGGGTGAATTGTATGGTATATGAATTATATCTCAATAAGGGTATTACCAAAAAAAAAAAAAAAGAAAAGAAAAGAAAAAAAAATGGCAGGCAGCTAGGAATCTACACAACTACCAGAATACAGGGGACTTTACCATGACAGTTTGGAACATTTAACCTATTTCTCATTTAGAAAAAAAAGTGCAGTTTGCTGTCAGCATTAATTTAACATCACATGTAGAAATGCTACGTTTTCTAGGATTTGACATTTTCAGCGACTGAGAATTACTATGTTTTGTAAATGGAAATACCACTACTAAAAACTAAATGCTATGAATAGAATGATGTCATTTGTTTCCAAAGACTATTGATATACTAGAGTGATGCGAAAATAATAATAAAAGTGAGATATTTTGTGGCAAACTTTGGGGTAAGGTTAGTACTGTAATCCATGAATTATCTCGGCGTAAACGCTATAGGTGCAGGGTCCGTTGGTGAGTATTCTCAGAGCAAAAAGGAAATGGGTTAAACAAATTTCACTCTTGTGGTGTGGTAGGCGTGGTTAGGCGGAAACATTGGTGTTCCAAATATAGTGTTTAAAGAAATCACTGTTACTATAATGTCTCCTATCACTGCTGTGTCAATTCTATTATATTTCCTTTCTGTTAAAATAGAATTTGTTAGTTCTCAAATTTGTGGTCTGCATGTGGCATCTTTCCAAGCTTTTTGGTGTTGTTATACTTTTGTTTATTTTTACGTATATAAAACATGTTTTTTGATATCCAGTATGACTTAGAAGAGGAAGTGACTGTATGCTTCATCATCCATCTTGAAATGTGAAGAGATTCTATAATTTTTACACCTCTTGAACTGATAACATTAGTAAGCAAAATTTTGGTTTCTACAGAAAACTCTCTTAGTTAACTAGATTGAGGAGAAATACAGAGATTTCTGTGTGTTTGTGACTAACGAATAATTCTGAGACTGTGGTTCTGATTTTGACTCACCAGTGTGCCATATATGACCTTTGTTTGACAGTCTACTCAGGTCCACTTTCCCCATTTGTTAAGTGAAGGCATTCTGTTAGGTGCCTTTCTTCTCTACAATTGATCATATTTACTGTTTACTTTGTTTTTGTTATTGAACTTTCCCAGCACCATCTAATAGAACTTCTTTTGTAATAGTAGGAATGTTCTGTATTTTGTGTGTCCAACATGAGCCACTAGCCACATATGACTGTTAAACACTTGAAATGTAACTAGTGTGACTGATAAACTGAATTTTAAATTTATTTAACTTTAATTAGCTTAAACTTGAATGTCTATAGCCACATGAGGCTAGTAGTTACCTTACTGTACCACTGCAAATGCGATCTACAACCTTTGGAAGAATTGGCTTTTGAAAGTGGAGGGACCTCAGATGAGCCTAGCAATTGATCACTATATGTTTACTTTGTCCATTCACCCTCCTTTTCTCCTCCAATCTCTAACATCATTTTTCGCTGATACGTAGTTCATAAAGTAAATAAAAGAGAATGCCCTCTAAACTACCAAAACTGCCTACCTGACTACATCTGTGTCCCATATAGTTTGCATTCTCTATTGTTATTACATCAATAATATTACTGGTGTACAAATATTGCTGTCAGAAGTTCTGGTCAGGTTTGGTAATTGTGTTCAGTGGCATCTCAGGGTTGTACAGATGGAATCCCAAGGCAATTGGAGGTGCGGGACTGGCTATAACTCCATTTCCCCTACCCCTAATCTATTTCTAAATTTATCTTTTTTTTTTATATTTTGAAATGTTTGAAATATTTCACTTGAATGACAGGATCTACTTCTATACTTATAGTTTTAAAAATATTTCCCAAACTGAAGTCTTCCTTGAATGTTGGACTTACATCCCAATCTCTCTCTGCTTTGACTGATCTCTTGTTACACTTATTGTCTATATTATACATTTTGTTATTTGACAACTTGTTTTTTTTCTAATTTTCTCTACTTTTTCATATGTATTCATTCTTTTGTCCCTCCAAAGCATGTAAATCCTTGGAAATTCAAGCACATACTTCTGCCCCTTGGATATCTCCAGAGAACCTAACATGTTAGAGATATGTAATAAGGAATATTGATTTGTGATCCAAATTAGTAAATGCCATCTAATTTGAGACTTATTTGAATCAGTGTCCATAGTGCCTTGGCTGGGGGTTTGTAGTAAGAGTTATTCTTCATACAGTATTTTAATTGATTTATTCAACATAATTATGTAATTCAAAAATTCCACTAATTGTGATTTAATGTGCTTTTGATCAGAAAAATCTGTTTGTGACAACTGACAGATGCTAACTTTTTCTACTATGATTTCCTTATAGGTTTGATGAACTTGTAAAAAAATTCAAAGTCGAGTATCATGCTGGTGGTTCTACACAGAATTCAATTAAAGTGGCCCAGGTTAGTTAATTATTTTTAAAGTTATAAATAAATGGATTAAAAATAATTCTAGACTTTTTGTCATCGTGCATAACTGTTTCAATCTAAATTTTGTTGCTATGGAATAGTTTCGTTGGTTTTGAATTAGGATTTTAGCAGGCATTGCCCCTTTAATCAGCAAAAATTATTTTAATCGGTATTTCTTTGGTTACTAGTAAGCTTGAACATCTTTTAATGTGTTTCTTGTTTAATTACATTTTTTCTTAATTATTTTTCAAGTCTTTCGACTATTTTATAATTTTTCATATTATTAGTTTGTAGAAATTTCTCATATTTTATGGATAGTATTTCTTTTTATTCTATAAGCTTAAAGTAGTTCTTATTTGTTATTTATACTTTAACTCTGCTTGTAATGGCTTTTACTGTGCCATAGTTTTTAGTTTTTTAAATGTAATTAAACCTTGTGGCTTCTGCATTTCTTATAGAGCTTAGAAAGAACATTCCTATTATAAGATACTACAAGTTTTCTTGTATTATATAGAGATACGTATATATCTGTATACATAAATAAAGGTATGTTTGTATTTAAGTATCTGTATGTCTATATCTGGGTATATTGTTCATTTACATCTATACATATATAAATTTATATATATGTATGTATGTATAAATTTATATATCTATATCTACACCCATTTCTATATCTTCCAATGGGTAATTGGATAAAATCATTTGACATATACTCTTCAAATCACCAGCCTAACCTAATCTTGAGTGAGAGACTTAGTGTTCTGCTGAAACTTCCAATTATGAAGGACATGAAAAAGCTTTACATACCTCTGGTTCTTAAACTCTGCGATTCGAAAGCTAGCTCAAAGTCCCACTCAGTGCAGTCATAGGTCAACTCTGATGGACTCAGGTCAGTTTCATTGATAAAAGCTTTCCCTTTGAATTTTATTAAGTTTAAGGACTAGAGAAGTGGAAAATTTGCAAGTGATGGTGAACAACTTCTATGTTTTGAATTAACCCTTAGTTGATTTGGGCACACAGTGTAATTATCCTCCATACTGAGGAAGCTCACATTTAATCATAGTGTTAAAATATTTTAGGTTGTAAAATTTAATCTTTAAGGTGGTCATTTGTGTACAGTGTCCTGAGGAGAAGGTCTTTGTCAGTTGATTTGTATTCCGATCACTTTGTGACCTCAGGTTAATACTTTTTGTCCTTAGGTAATGTATTAGTCCACTCAGGCTGCCATAACAAAATAGTATGGACTTAGCTGGCTTAAACAAGAGAAATTTATTTTATCACAGTTCTGGTGGTTAGATGTCCAAGAACAAGGTTGCATCACGATTGATTTTGGGAAAAGTCTCCTTCCTGGCTTGTAGATGGCTGCCTTCTCATTGTGTCCTCACATGACTTTTCTTCTCTGTCCACATAGAGAGAGCTATCTCTGGTGTTTCTTCCTCTTATAAGGATACCAGTCCTATTGGATGAAGCCCCCACCTCTTAGGACCTTATTTAACTTAATTATTTCCTTAAAAGGCCCTGTCTTCATGTACAATCATGGTTTTAGGGCTTCAACATATGAATTTTCAGGGTGGGGACACAATTCCAACTGTAAAAGATATGTTATTTTTAATTTAATTTAATTTAATTTAATTTTAAATTAAGTTTATTGGGGGTATCATTGGTTAATACAATTATATAATTTTCAGGTGTACATTATAATTTGACATCTGTATATTCTATTGTGTGTTTACCACCCAAAGTCTAGTTTCCTTCAGCTACCATATATTTGATCCCCTTTACCCACTTCACCCTCTCCCTACCCCACTATATTTGACCCCTTTTACTCTGTCTGCCTCCCCCCTCCTCCCTCATCCTCTACTCTCTGGTAACCACTAGTCCATTGTCCATGTCCATGAGTCTCTGTTTGTTTGTCCTGTTCATTCGTTGCTTTTAGGTTTATATCTCACATATAAGTGATCTTATTTTTAAAGCCTCGATCTATCAAAGCACATTCTACTACCTTTTCAGTTGTTTCTCCTTCTAGGTCTGGGAGATTATTAGAAAGGTCTCTCCTTTCTTGAGCATCTTTATCAGTTTCTACCTTCCCAAAGTTTATTACTTACATAATTAATATCAAGACCTCCATTGGATTTCTACCTGATAATTGGACTCATTAAAACAACCAACACCTGTTATTATTTGTGCAATTTTTATAGTACTTCATGTGCATTGTGACAGTGTATCCTAGTAATGGTTTATTTGTTTCTGTTTTTATCAAGGAAGTAAATAGAATTTAAAGTTTTGGGTGGCTCATCCCTTAGTTTTTTTATTAGTGGTATATTTGTGGTTAAAATGCTATTGTAATTGTCAGACTAGCAATCTTTTTTTTTTTTTTAATACCATAAGCAGAGCAATTCAGTTCAGTTCAGCCAACGTGTATTGATATGTATGAAGCTCTATGCTATATGATAGACATACTGATAAACATGAAATGTCCCTAGTTTACAAAATTCTTGCTTACATGTTAAAACTTACCATTTCTTTTCTCTTTAAACATCATTCTAACTTCTCTTCTAACTTTTCTTCCTTGTTATTTATTAAATTCCTACTCTGTGCCAGATAGTCTGTTAGATATTGGTGATGGAAAAGCTAATAATCAACTTAGTCCATATTCTTGAAGCTTTCGTTATAGTGAAAATGTATTTGGGGATGAGGATTGTGAAGTGGAAAGAGAGAACTATAAACTATGAAGTATTATATAATGTTGTAGGAGCAATCCTCTCCACCCCTAAGAGATAAACAAATTTATAAGAACCAGAATTAAAATATATCAGTACTCACATATGTGATTTTTTTAGTTTCTGGAAACGAAGGCAGAACTCTGTATATCTTCTCAAGTACACCTCCAGTGTGATATTCAGTTCCTAGTTGGATCACCATAATTCCCATTTTCTCAATAAGATTTTTATCTCATGTCCTAGATTTTAGGATTTTTAAGTTTGAACATGGAAAACTGAAAGAGATAATAGAAATAGTTTTCCTCTACCCAACTTGAACCTCCATCTCCCGGCATAAAACTGGTTTATCCTAAGGTTTTTTTCCCCCAAACCGTTTATGGAGCCTCTCAGATACTATCACAAGGAGACAAGGATAATGCTAGATTTGTTCTAGACTTTTTTTTTTGCTTTCAAAGCAGAGCAATTCTGCTTTTTTTCTATATGTTAACTTTAATGTGAGATTTAATTTTTTAAAAGTTACACTGCTCGCTTCACACCCGTTGAGATAGCTACTATCTCAAATATAAAATAACAAGTGTTGGCAAGGATATAGAGAAATCGAAACCCTGTACACTGTTTGTGAGAAGGTAGAATTGTGTAGCCACTATGGAAAACAGTATGGGGGTTCCTCAAAAAATTACAGACAGAATTACCATTTGATCCAGCAGTTCCACTTCTGAGTATGCTATGAACCGAATGTTTGTTTCCTCCAAAATTCATATGTTGAAACCCTAACCTCCAGTGTGATGTTACTTGGAGATGAGGCCTTTGAGAGGTTATTATGGTTGGATGAGGTCATGAGGGATCCCCTTCTGAGTGATTCTAAAAAAAGACCCAGGAAACTTACTCACTCACTTCCCCCTTCCCTTTACTTGAGGACACAATGAGAATGTGGCCATCTCCAAGGCAGGAAGAGTCCTCAATTGGTTCTGAATTGACTGCACCCTGATCTTGGATTTCTTAGCCTTCACAACAGTGAGAAATAAATTTTTGTCATTTAAACCAGCAGTTCCCAACCTTTTTGGCACCAGGGACAGGTGCTCCTATTAGAATCTAATGCCCGATGATCTGAGGTGGAGTTCAGGCAGTGATAAATACAGATGAAGCTTCGTTCCCTTGTCTGCTGCTCACCTCCTGCTTGTGGCCCAGTTCTTAGTAGGCCATGGACCAGTACCAGTCCCGTGGCCTGGGGTTTGGGGACCCCTGGTTTAAGCCATTCAGTTTATGGTATTTTATTATGGCAGCATGAGCAGATGAAGACAGGTGCATATTCAAAAGAACTGAAAGCAGGGTCTTGAAGAGATATTTGTACACCCATGTTCGTAGTAGCATTGTTTATAATAGCCAAAAGGTAGAAGCAACCCAGGTGTCCTTCAGTGGATGAATGAATAAACAATGTAGTGTATACACACAGAGGTATATTACTCAGCCTTAAAAGGAAATTCTCACACTTATTGCAACATGGAAAAATCTTGAAGGCATTAATGCTAAGTGAAATAAGCCAGTCACAAAAGGACTAATACTGATGATTCCACTTACATAAGGTACCTAGAGTAGTCAAGTCCATAGAGATGGAAAAAAGAGTGGTGGTTGCCGGGGGGAGGAAAGGGTAATGAGGAGTTAGCGCCTAATGGGCATAGAGTTTCCGTTTTACAAGATGAAAAGAGTTCTAGAGATGGATGGTGGTGATGGTTGTACAACAATGTAAATGTACTTAATGCCACTGTACTTGTATACTTAAAAATGATTAAAAAGGTAAATTTTGTGTTATATCTGTTTTAGCACAATTAAAAAATAAATAGATTCTAGAGATGCTTTGGTAGTGAATGATATCAGTCTGCTGCATTTACAGATTTCATTTGTTTATTCAACAAGTAATGAGACAACATAACAAATAAAGAGCATGGGCTTGCTCTTTGGACCTTGGGAGTCCATTTAAATTGGGTTTGAATTCAGGCTTTGTCACTTTACTGCCTATGAAGCCATGATCAATTTACTCAACTTTTCTGAGCCTTTCATCTATAAATGTGGAGGGTAAAGCTTATCTCAGACGGATGTTGTAAGGATTAATGAGATAATGAGTTAAAAAATTATAATACTTTTTAAAGAGAGTTTGGAAACCACCTAGGTTGAAGGCTTTCCCCTTGCATTTATCTGAGTTTTCTTCACCTTAACAAAACTTACTTTTACCTATTTATGGACAGAACAACTGGATTTGTGGCTCTCATCTGC